TATCTGTCCGACAGCTGAGAAATGCGAAGCAAGGATGACGTTCGTGAAGGTGGAATTTCTGAGACCAATAGCAAGACGGAGAGCTTTATATTGGAGTTTATTAAGTTTATCGAAGTGGGAGGAATTTGAGTATCGAAGAACGTGACTGCCGTATTCTATGGAGCTACGGATTAACCCTCTGTAAAAGGTGATGAGATTATTGGGGCGAGCCCCATACCAGGTTTTTCTCAGGGACTTGATTAGAGAGATGACTTTGGCACATTTATCTGTTAAAAATTAGATATGAGGTCTCCCTCTCCGGGAGAAGCGGTAATTTAAGGTGACTCCAAGGAACCTGGTGGATTCTTTGGCTTGGATGAGGGTGTCGTTGATGGAGATGTGGCGGTCAGCAGGGGTGAAATGTTTCTTTAAAAAGATGATTAGATGAGATTTTTCGGGGGAGATTTCGAGATTTCTATCCGATAGATGGTTGGCTATGGAGTTGACTGCTTCTGCCACAGATTCCAAGCAGGAGAAGAGGTTGGAGCTGCGAGAGAAGATTACTAGATCATCGGCAAAGGCGACAGATTCAGCCTGGAATTGATGGAGTTAGGGTAGGAAAGAGGTGTAGATATTAAATAGGATAGGGCTAAGGACTGACCTTTGGCCTGTGCCTTTGTCTATATGGTAGGGACCGTTGAGGCTCGTGTTATATCTAAGTAGAGTTGGCGGTAAGTTAATAGAAAGTAGACGAAGTCTACTAATTTTTGCAGAATTTTAGCTAATTTTTGAGGAATTCCTATGCGGGCTAAGTCGCTGTATAGAGTGAGCGGGTTGACATTGTCGAAAGCTCCTTTTATGTCGATGAAGACACATGCGGTGAATTGGTTGGAGGCGAAGCCTGTGAGGATTTGAGTTCGTGGAGGGTAAATTCTTTTTGAAGAAAGGGATTGCTTTGGAAAGGAATGATTGGAGGAAGGGGGGAGATAAAGTCTAGTCGGAGTTTGGGACAGAAATCGGAAATGAAATTTTTCATTCGTTCTGCAGATTTGTTGCCTTGTTTGGGGACATTTGAGGGGCTGTATGTGTTGCGATTTTTGAACTATTTGATTTTTTGCCAGACCAGGTTAATGGGGGTGTCTCTACGAAAGGATTCACAAAAGTTAGACCAGCCTTTTAATTTTTCTTTTCTGAAGGTGAGTTTGGTGAGGGCAGATTGTGTTTGCATAGCAATGCAGTTTCCTAAATTAATGGGTTTTGTGAAGAGGCAGGAGGCTTTCCTTCGGAGGGCAACAGCATGTGAGCACGTTTCATTCCACCAGGAAGCTGGAGGAGAGGATCTGCGGTTAGATTTATTGGAGTTTTGGAGACGAGGCTTCGATTGCTGACATAATGAGGTCAATTAACGATTCGTATTTGAGCTGGGGGGGGAGGAATTCGGGATATAATTAAGTCGGATCTCGTTAATTTCGAGATATTCTTGGAAGGCATCCCCGTCTACTTTGGAGCGGTTGATTTTATAGGAGAAACGTTTAAATTTTTCTGGAGGGACGTTGAGAAGAGTGACTATGGAGAAGTGGTCCCTTCCCATGTGGGAACGTACCAAGAAAATTGGAGGGCTATTGGAGGACGCAAGAGTGAGGTCAATGCATGAGGGGGGCGAGCCGGGACACCGCTGGACACCCCGTTAAGTGGGACACCTTTGATGATGCCAGGTCTGGAGAAGTTAAATTCAGGGATGTAGGTTGTATGATGTTATCAGACTTCAAGGAGTGGTGGTCCATGGCATCATTGACAATTTTGGCAGATTGGAAGGAGACTAGGATGGAGAAGCCGATTTTTCATTTAGAATATTCATGAGGATTTTAGCAAGGTTAACCCCGTGGATGTCAGGGGTGTCTGGGACAAAGTAGTTAGCTTGGAAAAAGACTTCAAATAATTAAGAGGGAAGCGATTTTTCTGAAGTTCTTGAGAGATGATGGGGCGTCGAGGCTAGCTTTTTGGGAAGGGTAGAGGGAGGGAAAGAGTCCGAGATTGATTTTTCAGGTTGAGGGGAGGATTTCTTGATTTTGGGGGATTTGTGGAGCATTTTCTTCCTGGATTTGAAGAGTTCGAAATCTAGTTCTTCGTCAGAGAATTTAATAGTACGTTTACCCACAGCATTTTTGTCCGGGATGCTCATCTCAGTGTCATTAACTGAGTGGGAAGAAGGTCGCACAAGAGGGGATATGATTGATTTTTGTGGAGAGAGAGCAGAGAAATTGACAAGAGTGTTTTGGGAGATATTGTTGAAAGTGAAGGGGGAGATGTTGTTCTGGAAGGCATAATCAAGGTATGCAGAGCGTTGAGCACATTCAACGAGAGATGCATCACTGGAGTTGTGTGAGGGTGAGGGGGCAATTAGGTTGAATTGAGGGAGGGAAAGAGAGTTCTGGGAGAGGAATGGATCACTGAAGATTAATTCGCTGTTGTTGTTCCGTTGGTTTATATCATAGGCGAGTTCATTAGCAACGTTGACTGAGATGATGTTGTCTAAGTTGACATTGTTGCTTGGCAGGTCTTCCATCGTGGAGACATAAGTTGGCCTTGGCGGGAATGCCGACGAGGTTAGGGCGACGTGTGGCTAGGCCACGGTCTACTTACGGTAGAGACTGCAGATAAATACTTATCTTGATGCAGATTCGGCAGCTCCAAGTGGTCCAGACTGATATTCGCCTAGAGAGTAAAGTAGGATACGGGAGGATACTACTTGTTTATCAGGAATAATGATAGCTAAGATGCGCGCACTGAAAAACACGTCCATACACGTTGGAGGCTTATGGTCGAGCGGCCTTTTCAAAACTGAAGAATGGCGAAAAGCCAAAAACCTAATTAGAGCTGAGGCTATACAGCTCCAAACCAAAAAAAACCAAAGGGGGTCTAATATTTTGACAGGTACTACAGGAAGACTCGAAGGCCTTGGTACGAAAAATGTAAATTCCCTAGAGAATCCATTGTAGTTGTTAATAGAGTTAGGTCGAATCACTACCATCTTGGAGCCTCCCTGTATCGAATAAGCATAATCAATGATCCAGAATGTCCGTGTGCGGAGTCACGAGACTTACATCATATACTGTGGCATTGCCCACAGTACAACGAGCAACGTGATAAACTATTAAATAAGTTAAGAGCCAAAAATTTTCCTTCTCCATACAACACTGAAAAATTTATGCAGGCATATAATTTTAAGTATATAGAGCAAATCTGTAATTACTTGAAAGAATGTAAAATAAAAGTATAGAGGAAGTAATGTATATAGAGTATACTAACGAATATCTATCGACAGTGTAAATAATTTATAATAAATTGAGCACTTTAAACAATAAAAAAAACATCAAGGAAATAAAGCTAATTTTTAAAAATATTATTATTATTATATTATTCAATTTGTGAGATTTTTTTGGTCACTCAAATTCTTTCAAGAAATGTGTAAAATCACTACTACGAGATTTTTCCTCGATATTTCAAATGCGAATCAGTATAATGCCTGTTGAATTAAATTTCATTATCACAGCTATTTATTCGTAGGAGATTGCGAAGTAAAATGGGATATTCGTCTATAGATGTTGCATTTTACTCGATATAGTTTCGCGTTGCCTCGGTCTCCCATATAAAATAGTTATAATTATGTAGTTTGCATCCAAATGCCACAACAATGCCTTATATTGTCTTGCTGCACATATTATGTAAATGTCGACAAATAAAAGTTGCTTATTTTAGAGAAGATCACATTTAATTTTTCACATAAAGGAAGCAAACCCTTATATATAAATTCTGATGAGGCAGAATTTTGCGCCCCCCCCCCCCTGGCCCTAATTAATACATCTTATTTTTTCTTAGGCTAAGTTAGATTCAAGTTAATCGTTTTGCCACCGTTGGACAATCCATCCCCAGATATTCCTTACCCCCGCCCTAGCACTCACGCATCAAGGAAGAGGACCACGTGATCCCGGAAGAAAGAGACATCCCTCGAGCGAGCCCCCCGTGTCGAAAGAAGGAAAAGGAGACACAATTACGATTACCCCCGATTAGCACGGATTATCGCCGGAATCGGAAGGAAGAGGTGAGGATGATTGAAAGAAATCACTCGTGCCACAGCTGCCCCACAAGTCACTGCCCCATAAAGTAAAAGAGTTACCCCGAAGAGACCCTGTGAAAAGAGCCTGAAATATTGTGAAGAGACAAAGTGTGAAAAAAGGAACTAGAGTGTGAAAGAGAAAGGAGTGAAAATCTATTGTTAAAGGAGTGAAGGATATTATAGAAGATTTTCGTGTGTGAGAGGAACTATTGGAAAGATTGTGAGGAAGAGAACTATTGTAGAGAGGATTAACGGAGAGAGAGGAGAGAGAGAGAGAGAGAAGGAAGAAAGAAGGCAAAAGTCCAAAAGAAAACCGAGAGAATTCTGAGGACACCATTCCCCGTCAGTGCCCCATTTTTTATTCCGTGCCGCAACGAATTTCCCTGCCCCATATTACATTCCCTCCAACGGCGAACCTCCTGTAAAGGCATTTTAGTTGTAAATGAAGCACCCTACTAATTCTTACTTTTCCAATCGGCCCCCTCACTCCCCCCCCCCCTTTTCCAGAGTTAGAGTCACCCCTTCTTTTTATTATATTATTTCGCGTAGCCTCAAGTGAGTTGGCCTTACCCTCCACCCTCGACTCAATTAGTCAATAGTCACAAGGCTTTGGTTAAATTTTATTGTATTAAGTTGTTTTTGTGAAGAATTGGAATGCAGAATGTCATTTCACCAAAATCCCGTGAATAATCATTTTCAATCACCTTTCCCCATTAGTATTTCAGGCCCTCCCTCTGACTATTGAATATTCCCTATACAAATCATTATTTCCCAGAGAATTCCTGAACATCGTGCCTGGACCGGAAATTAATATATTTTAATCCACCGGCCAAGGTCACAAAATATTTCCAAATGAGATAAATGAGATTTCCAAGGTATAAATAAAACGTCCTGTAATCTTACATAATTGAATTATCTTATTATTCAGTAATTATTCATCCTATTAAATTAATTAATAAAATACATTGTCGAGGTCATCCAGCGGGGTCAGTCAAAATTTTTGTATTTCAGAAAATTTTGTGAATTACTCAGAAGTAGAATCAAACAAAAATCAAAACTTTACTCGTAATAATCATGAAATTAAATAAATGACCATTTGTTACATTTTTCCACAGTTTTTTGTGTTTAAGTAAACTATGACAGCCATGTTCTGAATAGGTTCTGGGTGGATAATTTAATTTACTGTGTAAAACCTTATTCATCAAACATTAAAAAATCATGTTATGTAGGCATGGTCAGCAATCGAACATATTGACTCTATTTAATTAATTAATTGACTGAGCTATATTGTGTCTATGTTGTTATGTTGCGACACGGAGTAAAAATAAGAAAATTCTTCATGTTCACAGACAATTTTCCAGAAATTTGAGAATTTTGGTTATAACACACAAGAAAAATTGCTATACTGGTACTAGAAATTTACGGAATCAATAAACTTTATACAGAATTTCGAGACGAATTATGAGCGTGCAAAACTTCTATAAAAATGAAAGTAGATAAAATTTTACTGTGTAGTTGGACTAATTTTTCCAGTACCAGTACTGGAAATTTCCCTCATTCTTCTTGTCCTCGTGGTATAAACGGAAGCTAAGGAAACATTACTAGGTGGTTAGGTATCGACTGCAGATAAACGAATTTTCATAATAAACAAGAAAATGTTCCAACGAAATTTCTCGAGAAAAATTCCAGTACTCTTCTCTCTGTGTAGAAATCTCAGATTTTGCGTTTGCCTCATTCATTATTTATCTTTGTTATAAATTATTTGTTCTTCAAAATGAATATTCATCAGAGCCAGGATGAGATTAATCTAGAGGGAAAAGCTGATCAAAAGTGAACTGATTAACAATATTTTGTCCAATTTCTCGAAAGGCTACGCCTAAAGCTTTCTCGACAACTGGCATGAGCTCCTTAAGGAAAGCATCAAAATTATTATTGATTGCATTGTTAACAACATCACCGATGACTTTATCACCCCCGAATAAATTGTCCAATCTTAATGAGCCCTTACCAACAGTAATTTTGAGGTCGAATTCTTTTATGCGGAAGTATTCAACGCCATTATCGACAGCCGTTCCTGCAATGAATTTCACAGCGCCAAGGCAATCGGTGAAATTTCCTGTAATCCGGCCTGATCCTGTTATTGGCAACAGTATAACTTTTCCGTCTATCTCGTACTGTCCATCGATACTCAGATGAGGAAGGAAAACATTCAAAAAGTATGTGAATGTTGCCATGTTAGCGCTGAAAAAACATTTAGATTATGATTAAGGATACAAAATTGAAAAAATTAATTATTTTCAGGAATTATAATATGATTTGTTATATTTCTCATCATTAGGGGAACGATAGCGATTTTTAATTGTTTCAATATGATATCGATAGCAATAATAGCTGACGATTGAAAAATAAATTAAAACATAAATAATTACTTTCTGAAAACATAATGATATAGTTCTCCATCATTTCCAGTAAATTCGGATATTTTTTTAAATTAACGCACTCAGCAATTCGCGGTACCAGCATATTTTTAAAAAACTTAATTAACCAAAGTCAATTGACTTGGAATTTGATAAAAACCTTCTTTTTCCTTCACTCTTCCCTGGTTTTTTGACCACTTACAAAAACTAAATAAAAGAAAGGATTTATTGAAAAATTAGGTTTTGATTCGTGAAGACGAGGAGAAGAAATTCGACAAGTTTTCCATGAATATATTTCGAGCGTAATTATTATTTTTTCAAATTTAATATGAATGTCTGGAATCTTTTGTTTTTTTCTCTCATGCATCAAACTACAGATTAGCATCTTATACTTAATTCTTGCATTAATTCTTTGAATATTAAGATGAAAAATGACAGCATCAATCGATCAGAAGAATTAGTAATACTGAAGTATCAAAAACGGTAAATATAAAAACGAACATGAAAAATACGCAGTTTTCCGGAAGTGAAAGATCATAGGTAATGAACAAGTGAGTTGAATCTTAGGGTTTTTATTTCAATAGAATTGTGTGGACATTCCATTGTATTATCTGGTTGGATTATGCAATGACGCCGGATGTGTTTTTTACTCACTCCATTTTAGTGACGGAGAAATCACTGGCACCGTAGGCATTTACATCCCTAGCAGATAATTTTAATCCACCTCCTTCGGCTGCAACTATTTCCTTCAGAAGTAGAGGTTCAATTGATGGTATTTGGTACTCTGGCACACCCTTCAGCAGATAGGGTCTCAGGTGTTCAACGCTATTTTTGATGCAATCGTTGATGTTTGGGTCATTTCGCTTGCAAACGTGCAGGAATTCAGCTGCGAAAACCAAAGTTCAATGCCTAAATCTAAATTTATGTAGGGTGTCCCTTTAAGTAATGTGTGTAGAACTCTCCCATGTCTTTTGATACTTAATATTTATCATTCGAAATTCGATATTTGCTTCATCTATCCCTTCCATCTACAACTTCACGATAATTTATCAAATATGAAATCTGAAATTCTCCATTGATATTATCAATCAAAAGTTAGAAATTCGAAATTTTAAATTTTACTGGGATAACGAAGGTAAAAATTTAAAGTCTCAAATGTGGTTCATGTATGTCTTTAAAAGCTTTTGCCTACGAACTCGTTTTCCTGACTCATTCTATACTAGCACAAGTTCAGATTTGTTATTCCTGAAAAATCAATGCAAAATGCAACTTTTTTCCCCCTGAAATTTAGGTAAGACCTTAATTGCCTGACGAAGAAAATCTCCAAGATTTCACTTACGGAGGTCCTTGGCTATTGCAGTAACAGCTAACGTGATGAGAACGAAAGTTGTAAAATATGTCATTTTCCTATTGAATTGGAAAATTTGCACAGAATAACGGATTGAATTAGTGGAATCACTGGAAGACACAAGAGATCTCACCCGAGATTTTGGTCTCCGGTCAATATATTGGTCACAGAAAGGATCACCTCAGGAGCGGGGACGTACTCCAAGTTTGAATGATAAATGTACCCGCCCCCTAATAACTGCAAGATTCCAAGGAAGTTAATGTTTTTCCCCTCTGCGGTTTTCTACCAACAGTTTCATACACACACATCATTTGCTCCCCATCTCCCCAACTCACAGTGCAATAACGTAATCAAATAAACGATAAATGAGAAAAAATGTATGTGCGGTGATTTCTTTGTGTCACGCATACAATGACACGAGTCATTTTATTCTGTGGTACGAATAGCAAAATACGATGCTGGCCTTGGTTACACACGAATAATTTCAATGGCTACGTTGTCCCCTTACGTGACATTTGAATCACAGTAAGAATAACATTATGTCGACTTCTCTAACTTTTTTTCATTCATTTTTCCATTCCCTTTGTCTCATTTTTAATTGTTTCGTCTGCAGGTAATGAACATGGTTTTTTTTCAAGATAATGATACCTGGTACGTGACAAATATATCAACTTCAGGCATTCATTCTGTTTACACTCAGAAATAAATCTTTGAAAATTATAGATTAACCAGGGAGACCCAGGCGAAATGGAACACGGCATAAAATGGAATTTGGGTAAAATGGGATGAATCATGAGGTCCAATGGGTGGCGAGGAGGAAAAATCGATCATCCATTATTTACTGTTAGAAGATGACGTATTTTCAGATAATGTTCAACAATTTTTTAGGTACAAAAAATAACAGTGCATAGATTAAAATATTCAGTAAAAGTTACGGAACTTTCAATTCGCTTACCGATTACGGAATCGACTCGAAAAATTTAAGTTACAGTATCGTAATTTTTTACAAATAATTCAGATGAAAATTACGGAACGCCACAGAAAGATTTCGTGACATTAGATAAAAATTGTGCAACAGTTCAATAAAATTTCCTACAACCACATTTCGCTCCGAATTACGAAAAAGACACGTAATTTTTATTCAATATTTCTCTACGTGCATAATTAAAAGAAAAAATTAAATTGGCCAAAAACACTGGGACACTCTTGGACAAAATGACTTTTGACAAAATCCAACACTTTGAAAAAAATAACCGGGAATGAGTTAAAAAAAAAACTTTTCCGCAACTGTCCCATTTTGCCCGACTCTCCCCTTTTACTCCTGAAATAACCAGAGATAACCAAAAGCAACAATCAGATTAATAGTATATTATGCACCCCCGAAAGGAAAGTGTCTTCTGACAAATGTGACGTCACATGAGTCAGAAAACACTTTTCGACCGTGATGCATATGCTACTTTATGTCCCTAGAGATAAAAAGTGCCATCGAACCGAGCCAAGCGGGGTTTTAAGATCGCGCTTTTTACTCCCGCTGGGACATAAAATTATTATACCGATGGATCATCAGTAAGCAATCAATGGACGAATTAAATCACACAAATACAAATAATCATCCACCCAAAAATAGTAATATTTACATGTAGAAATTCCATTACCGTAAACAAGTTGTCAACAGACAAATTGATAATACTCAACATAAGGTAATTTAGACCAGCCGATGAAGATTCAAGTTGTGGAACACATTATTTTCTTTTACAAAATTGTATATGACAGTATTAAATCATCGTAGCACCAAATACACCGAGGATCAAGGAAAAACCTCACCACGCAGAAAACTTTTGAGTAGATGCAGTCATCCCGCTCACAAAACTCATTTGAATAATAAAACTAAATAATGAAAAACGTTAGAAAAATTCACCACCTCAATATGACACTCCAACCACTTAGGCCATGGGTGTTCTAGAAATTTATCCAATTTTATAACAAGTAAATGAAATTTCAACTAATAAAAAAAAAATAATATAAAAATAAATAAATAATAACAATAATAAAGTTGGTAAACTAACTCACGTAATGAGTATTACGCGAATCCATACAATTTCTTTGAGGCAAATGTGATGTTTTGCAAAATTACTTGTTAGTTCTTAAGCTCATACATGTGTATAGAAATGATATAGAGACAATGTTTTTTATAACATGATGCGTTTTCGTAAAAAATGGAAAATTCCATAAACTTCTTTCAGTACTTCGTGAAATATAATTGCGGAAGTTTTTATACCGAGAGTTCAATCAAACTTCTCTTTCATCTCTTTTTATCTGAATTTCCATTTGTAAACATTCTCTTTCAGTTTTAGACTTAATATAAAGTAAAATTTTTTCAATTTAGTACCCCTCTCTAACGATTTTCCAGTAAATTATATGTTTAATTCCATCGGGGGAAAAAATCACTTGTGCTGAATTCATATTTTTTTCATCTTTCGGGCAAACTCACGAGAGGATTGACGTGGAAAAATAGAACGTTTCTGCGTTTTCTTATTATTTAATGATTCACCCAGAAAAACATTTGTTATTATTTACAACACGTCTCAATAAAAAATGAAGAGTTCCGACGAGTTTATAAAAAAGCGAATGAATTTGATCAAATAAAAATAAAAATTTGATCATCAAGAGCAATTGATGGATCGGATTATGAACCACTCGTAATAGAGACCATTACATAGCCATTATTATGATTTACGCAATTTCATTCTGAGTTGCACTATTAGCAGCATTCACCAAATAATAGAACGCCCTCAACTGTCGATTAAAAAATCTTTCAAATTATTAGATTTAAATATTTGTACATTTATCAAGGGTTTCTTCCATTATTTTACTCTTGGCGATCATTAGAATCTGTGAATCACTCCGTAATTATTGAGAAGACCGTGATTTTTCTATTTGACAACTTAAACTTCAAATGCATGCAAACAAGCACGTAAGAGATTGGCATAAAGAAATCATCCTACGACAGGTCGAATAAGTCATCTGAACCGTGCGATGGACATAATCATGACGCAACCTGTCCAACTGCTTCTTCTTTATGATAAACAGAAGAAATCAGAACCTTATTACCCTCTTATTACACAGACGACACATGGAACTCGAACATACTGTTGTTATGAATGTTTATCATCCGGTAGTCACGGTTGTACCTGGTGATCTGTGAGGAGGTCAATGAAGACATCAACGATTACTGAATTAAGCCGTCATATCATCAGCTTTGTTATAATCCTTTGTAATCAATAAATCAATCATCAATCAAATCATTATCAATAAATAGGATTTTATTTTATTATTGAAATGGGAAAAACATTCTACATATAATTAATTTAGACGAAACCAAAAATTCACAAACCTAGCCGCGACAATTCATTTCAAATATAAGACATGTCGTTGTGGTTTTCATTCAAATGATTTATTCAATAAATTATCATGATTTATGACCTTGAACATCCTGATCTCATCTTCATAAATTTACAATTAATTTAACTCCATTTTAATATAGAAATTAGACAAATTATGCGCTGTAATAACTCATCCAATCACAACAAATACTACAAACTTGTATAAAATTATTTCTTCCAGTACGTTCCAGTACTCATATCTATTTAAAGCTAAATAACCATTTGCAAGTGATAACACTTTCCTCGCTAATAATACAATGAAATCAATGGATTCAATGCTTAATTAATTATTGGAGTTGTGCTGAAATTAAAACGTAGAGCTTAAAAAATAAGCAATACGCAGATATAGTCCTACTTTATTATTTGCGTGCCAACGAATAATTAATTACAACTTTTTGACGGTATCATTACTTCTAATCAGAGATCCATGCATCGTAAGGCACTTTTGCAAACAGATTTTCAACAAATGTTGTCATCACTTGGATAAGTTTACGCCTGAGTGATGGCTTCATTTCCTTCAGGAGCTCTTGGCTATTACTGTTGATGAATAAGTTTAATGCGGCCTCTGTAAATTTTATTGAGAAGTCATGAATTTTATAGACATGCGGTGACACATTTATCTCGAATCAATTAGAATTATTTTCTTTCTCGAATTACTTACGTAATATAGTATTTCCATCATGAACGTTCTCAACTCCCATTTTTATCTTTTGGACACTGAAGTCCATCTTCAATTGCTGCAATCTCAAGTATTTGTGACCTTCATTGAGGTAAGGCTTGGCGCGAATGAATATTTTCGCTTTAACACCGTCTGAAAAGAAGAATAAAAGATATGGAGCATTTTTTCTGATGATGTTTATCAACCATTTTTATAAAATCTTTATACCGCACAGGGATGGGTTTTGGGGCAGGGATGAGTTAATAGACAGGTAAACTATTACGCTAATTACTTTCTTACTAAACCTATCCAGTAAAAAGCGATGCATAAAACTGGTTATTTATTAGTTTGCGAATCTAATTATGCCTCATGGAGTCGACTTTTATCCAATGCATTAATACTTTGAGCACCATCCATTGAGGATGTTTTGCACCTATCGCAATTAATTTTCAAGTATCCTGATGCGTTAATTAGTTCAAGTAATAGCTTTAGAAAATTAATGAAAAAAAAATTTAGTCAATCGTTATGAATTTTTTACCATCGTTTTATAGTTGCTTCAATAGTAAATTTTCAAAATTTCAACACAATTTTATATTTTGGAATACATTTATAGAAATTTTTATTTTCCACATAAGAGACTGGGTTAATTAAAAACATTAATAATTAATAAACACAAAAGGATGTTGCGAATCAATCTCAAATTTGATACAGGCATCTGTTATCGTTTCAAAAACATTATGTCAAAATTTCAAACAATTCTTATATCTTTTCCAATACATGGAAAACAACATTAACTTATCTCCAAAATCATGCCTGGAGAATCTACAAAACCATGACTAGAGACCAGACTTGTCCGTTCTGGACTTAAAAATGTATGTAGGAAGTCTGAGGTGAAGATAATTTCTAAGGATTTTACTAACATTTACATATTATGTAACTAAAAAATGTCAGGAATGTTTTTAGACTGCTTTTCCATCAACCACTTCATCACAATGAAAAACACATTAGACCATCATGCGGTCAAAATAGTCAGTAAAATACAATACATTATCAATGTGAACAAAAAACATTAGAATTCATTATGGCAGATGTAAATAATTCTACTGATTAATTCATCATTTCTCCGAAATCAAAATAAAGTAGTTATTTTCCATTATAATATCATAATAATTCATAATAATCCCACAGCAAAAACAAGGATCACCCTAAATTGTAAGTTCACAATATTATTTAAGAACCATTACACATATTTTGGTCAACTTTAATTTTTCAAATATTAATGAGAAAGATTTTCCCTATTCTATTCATATAAAACGTCTGCTGCCCCCAGTTTTTCCCAATTTAAACAAAATTTCCTCTTAGTCAGCCCCTAGTAATAGATACTAATTACAACTATTTAAATCTATCCTCTTTTTACTTACCATATTCGCCCCAATAATCTCCAGCCCCACTGGCCTGCACTAAAATCAACTTTCCACTGGACCTGTACTTGGCAGCAGCTCGAATCCTGGGGATATTGAGCGCCAGTTGAATTTGTACTTCATCATGTGAGATCCGTGTCCTCAACCCTGTGATGCGAAGAGCTGACACGCCCCTAGCAGCTACATCACGGAATTGTGCATTATACCCATCGGGACCTCCACCAAGAGCAATGCGAACCTCATCCAGAATTATTGGTTCTACTTCCGGATATCCTAATTGTGGCAATCCTAATGAAGAAGCATAAACCACAAAACAATCAATTATTCGAATCAAATCAATATCGAACTATTCATTAAAAACTTTTCTGTACACCCAAAAAATCCAATATCAATTCGAGACTTATCACCTACGATCTTACATTAGGACTTTTGAAAGTATCAACTTACAAGACTTATGAAACTCATAAATTTAGACTTTCAAATCTCAAGTGAAAACTTGCGAAAAGAGTGTACCTAAAATTTTCAATTTCCTTGAGACTTTCAAACATCCCAACTTAAAATTAAAAAAAAATCTTGAATATTCGAGCGTCTCAACTCATGTATTTCAGAGTTCAACTTCTCTCAACTTTGAGACAGTCACCATCTCCTTTATCTTTTTGTACACGAATTTTAATGTGGTCACGTGCATCCAGAATAATTTGTTCGTCAGCACTAATACATTTTCATACAAATTAAAAAAAAATATATCTTAAAATTAATCACAGAACTACGTACTATCGAGTCCATTTTTTAAGAAGATTTGAGCTTTTCTCTTCCTCTTTTTTACTAAAAGATAGAGTAACATGTGTATATTATTGTTGGCTGGTTGAATGGGTGACTTATGGGTGTTTTAGGAACGCATTACTTCCTCTCATCTTTTAATTCTTCTATTGTCCTATGAAATTAATGGGAGATATGTATGAAATACAGATAACTGTGTAAAATTTGTTAATTTCAGGCAAACTCGCATTTACATATAATTGCTAAACTAAGGTGACAAAAGTTTAAAAGCAAACGGAAACGAGTGAAACTGTATTGCAATGAGACGATAAATATTATTATGATCCCGTTAATTTGTTGTGTTTATTTAATTATCGTTTGTTTGATAACCTTCCTATTCGTAGAGAACATTCTATTCTCTATTCACATTGCATTCAGCATTTATATCTGAATATAAGGATAAGGATAAGGATAAAATGATTTACTGCTCCTAGAATTCATTATCAATATTTTTCATTCATGTTGATTTATCGGTGACGCAGTGATTATCTTATTATTATTGTTTTACTTCTCATCGTTTTTATTTAGAGAAGTTCCGATCCTTATTCTAATTATCCTTGCTATACATTGGGGTTTTCGAGAACGTGCAGATATTACTAAATCTTTTTTACTTGGTATGGCTGCTTTTAAATAATAACTTATTTCAATTATTAACTTCAAAATTATAGAAATAAAAAAAAATTTTCCTTCCTAAATTCTGTTTTTATTACGCAATCTTCTTACTTTTTTAAAAATTAATTTTGAATTATAAACATTTTCGTACTACTCTGAAGAAATGTGAGATGATTGTACACTCAATTTCTCTCAAAGTGAGGAAAGAAAAGTTTCGACGTTTTGCCTATAACACATAAAAAAATTAACTGCAAATTTCCTGCAAGGAATTTTACATAATAAGAAATACGGACCAGCGAATAAATTGCTCACGTCCCCTTGAAAACTCCATTGCGTAGCTATCGAGAAATTTAGATTAGTTGAGATTAGAGTTAGCACCGAGTAAAACCACTTCATTGCAATTTACTAAATCCAAGCTAAAATTTCAAGAGGTTGAAAGAACCATCAATTACATAGAAATAGGTCCCAGCCCAGTAGCTAAGTTTCTAGGGATTTATTGCGATTCTGAATTCAGTTTTAAACACCACAGGTCAGCGAAGTATAGAAAAAAACGTTCAGAGCTCTCATTATCATAAAGTTCCTCCAACGAACTTGGTAGTGATCTGTACCTTTCACCTTTATTATCCTCTACAAGAAGTTTCGTTAGGTCGATCATTGACTACAGATTATTTATATATCTTCCCAACACGATATTTATGAAAAATAGACTTGAAAAAATTCAATGCTCCGCTATACGATTGGCACTTGGGTACATGTGTGCAACCGCCACTAATGTCCTCATCGGGAAATCAGAACCTATTTAATGAAAGCTCTTTCGGATCAAGGGACACAGAGCTCACAAAATATCTACAAATTTATCGGAATCAGATCCTACCCTCATCATGCAACAGACAACTTAATGGTTAAATATATCTTCGAGATTTTACTGATTAAATAATTACCGTACACCGATTGAAACTACCACAAATTTGATTTAAACACACACTCATTTAATGCGCTTACATGTTCCCGATAGACCTGAACGAGTACTTGGATTATTCGCAGCAGGGGGTATAAGGGAGGCCAATAGTTTTGTAAATGGGGAACTCGAAAAATCATATCGTGACTACTACGGAATTTTCATCGACGGAAGCAAAAACAGAGACAGCACCTATGACGGAGCTGCGTTGTAGCTGCGTGTCTGGCGTTGGATACTCGTATCTCTACAACCCTCAATAGTTACTCCTCAATTTATACTGCAGAATGCATCGCACTCAAGCTACCGATGAAATTCATAAAAAGAAATCCAAGTCATAAATACGCGATTCTGATAGAAACATTATGGGTAAGCAGGAAGTGGATAAGTTAGCGCGAGGGGCAGTGGAGAGTCAGAGTGCTGAATTTAGGATTCCTTATACTGATTCTAGAGCACAATTTTAAAACGAAGAACGCAAAGAACCAACTGACGGAATTTGAGAACGGAGAACCAAAAAGGGGCAGAATACTGAAGTCTGAACTCTTCTGCAAGAACTCTCCTGAGAGAGCATAGTAACCGGCAACCGCTTTAGAGCCAACCATTACCATCTTGCAGCCTCCTTATAGTGAGAATTACCAGGGATCACAGTTGACCGTGTGGAGCAGAAAGCTAAATCTTCGACCATATCTTATAGCACTGGTCCAGGTACAAGCAACAAAGATAAACTACTAGAGAAATTCAATAAGTTGAAGTGTACTAGACCCTATTCTATTCTAAAAGGGACACGCTTGACACAATCGATTATCTCGAAAATCTCGAAATCATGGAGCCATGATTCCTTATTGGTCCGCCCAAATGGCGCGAGATTACAAAGTCGGAACTCTCTTACAGAAATCGTTTCATAGCTAAGCGCTGACAGGCGCTATGGTCTCCCGTACTACAAAAAAAATCGTAGATACGTCAGATTTCAAATATATAGAAGAAATATGCAAATACTTAAATGACTGTCAAATCTTTAAGTTCCAAAATGTGTAAAATACTAATGTAATAGAATTAATATGGACTACTATATGCAAATGTAAGTAACTCAATGTACGGGTTCCAACATTCTGACTCGATATTGAAAAAAAATTTCAATAAAAATAAAAAACATCTCTAAGAATGATCTCTGCAGGTATCCTTAAAAAACGTGATAATTTTCAGTTTATATTCATTGCAAATGTGTTGCAGGCAAAACATAGAAATTTTTTTTTTCTTCAGTTTGAAAGGAATTGAGAGTACAATCATCTCAAATTTTTTCAGAGTAGTAGAAAAAACTGTACATATCACAATTAATTTTTTTTTAAATCTTAAGTGAACAAAATAGAATTTAGGAAAGAAAAAATAGGAAAAAAATATTTTCTCCAATTTTAGAGTGTTTCTGATTCTTTTACATTTGTTTGTTATTTTTTAAACGATTTTTGGAATAAGAAAAAATGGAATGGAATAAAAAAAAATGATATAACACGTTTTTAAATTTATACAAATTAGGGAATCAAGATAAAGATCTGAAATTTTCCAAAGAATTATTTTTATAGGTCATAGATATGTAAAAAAATTGGCGCCTTGAAATTCGCGGGGGACAGATTCGCCATGCCTATCCGGCTAAACGCTTTATTAAAATTGTTTCATAATTTTGCAATCGAATCTCGGTATCCTCCTTTTTTTGTGATTTCCTTGAATCATCAAAATTAATATTACAAAAGTATAGGAATTGAAAGTGCTCAAACTGAGAAAAAACAATTCTTTTTTTCCTGAAAAAACAGAACTTGTTTACAGAATTATTATTTAACAACACATAGAACCGGAAAGAGAATGGATGATATTTACGATCCTTTTTTTAAATTACAGAATACTCGGAAAAATTGATGACATCTAAGTTAACAGAGATGCCACCAGTGAGTGAGTTAAAAAATACTCCTGAACACCTTACGAATGGATCAAGTATTATATCGAAACGAACTTGAGAAGAAAATCCATTCAAGTCTCATTTACGCGTATGGTATATGGGGCAGCGGTATTTTGCCATTCGAAATACACCGTTATAACTTGCTTGAAAGGATCGTATAATTTCCTTTCAGCATACTCCAATAATGTCAGGTCATATGAGTGAAGCTCATTTTTTTTGTGTCAATTTAAATCTATAATAGTCGCTGCAACAAATTAAGTTATCTCATTACGTTTTTTTTTCTATACTACTGCTTATTCCTTTGATATGAGCCCCACAACAAATTGAATCCAACCGAGATAATGAGACTTACTTTATGCATAAACCATTGATAAATTGTTGATATTTACCATGTGCAAACTGCTGGGTAAGAGCATTGGCAGATCTCGCTAGACAGGATTCAAGATCTGGTTGACTCTTCGAGCATGGCTCAATAAATTCCAGTCCCCTGTATTTTCCAATGGCATTAGCGCAATGGACAACAATTAAAATCCACGTGAAACACTTCAGACTGACTCCCTCCATAATCCTCAAAAAAAATAGATCTTCAAGTTCCGAAGATCTATAGGTCTGTCCCAAATTCGGCGACACGAAACTGAGGGTATGTTTGAACGACTTCTACGAGAGTGAACGAATCGATGGTGATGCGTTGGGACTTATAGCACCTTGACATTGCAAGAAGCAACGCTACTGGAGGCGAAATGGAATGATGGTAGTGGGGTTTAAACGTTCAGACGCCATTCTACATCCAACTTTCTTCGAAACCGCCTAATAAAACGTTTGCTAATAATTTCACGAGCAAAATAACACCTCACACAATCAACAAATACAGTAAAAAATGTCGAATCATTCTTTAAGACTACAGCAACATCGATTAACACATTGTGAACTGATCTTTCAATCCATAATTGAATCATTCATGTACAGAGGACTAATTGAAAATTCTAAAGAGGATCCGTACAGGTGTATTTGCTGAGAGAAAGTTTCATTACTGTCGTCAGGAGAGATTAAAAGTAGCATCTGAGAGTCATGAATAATGGTTAATGGTTAATCCGCTGTAAGCATTAGTTGGATACCTGTTTTTGATTTCCCATTTTCCAATTGTTAATTTGGAATGATGATCCAAAATTTACCAGATATTTGTCCGAAAAACCACATGATTACAGGAAATGATGATGCAATAACTTATCATAGACCTTTTGTGTAATTTGTCGTCATTATTACACATTCACGTGTAATAGCGTTCATTGTATCTCTTTTAGATATGTTGTATAAACTGTAATGATTATTTCTGTAGCCTTGACAAATACGTTTTAAAACCTAAATCGTTCAATAAAAATCTTTGAATACGGCTCAACTATTACTTTTCTCTCGCAAAACCAGCAAATCTGAAAGTACAAAATCTTAATAATCAACAGCGAACTCCTAGGACCAATCAGCAGTTTATTTTATCGTGATAAATATTGGTTGCTTTAACGGTTAAATCAGTTAAAGATTAACCCATTCTCAGCAAGACGAAATCGACGAACCGCACCGTATCAGAAGAGAAAAAAAATGTGAAATTAAAACTACTGATCATCCCCGGAATTGATTAACGGTAAAAACTTAACGCAGAATGTTTCTTCCCTCCAATGTTTCTGAAAGAGCTATACGTGCTGAGAAAAAAATTACTTCTGCTAAGTAAATCTATTTAACACAAGCAAATGTAGATGAATATTTTATATAATATTTTCACATTTTAAATGTGAGTTTTCTCTTATAGTTCGTAAATTTATTTGGCAAAGTAATTCTTTTCATTACAACAACAACAACATGATCATGGTTATGCTTCTCATCATGTTTTGCAAAATGACAGCTGTATTGACGTCACCAGTCCACACAACTGACTTTATTTTTAATTAGCATTACAATATATTAAATTTTGTTCCTGCTCTGTGCACAGCCCGATCTAACTTCTGTCCAACGTATCATACAAATCAGTATCATTCGTTCTATTTTTAATTTTTATTTCTCTATAAAAGAATGGAGTTTCATCGGGGGATCAAACCTGTCGAATTCGACTGGATGGACGTGGAGCTACGGCTATAGTGTGATGATAATATATTGTGCCTCTAGGGAGAAAAGTATTTTCAGGGCGAGCGTTATAATCACATTTCGTCAGAAAATAGTTTATTTTCATGAGGCACATGATGTTTTATTCCTATAGGGTCCGAAAAGTGCGATCTAACCGAACCAAGCGAGGTTAGCGTTAGATTCGCAGTTTCCAGTGCCTATAGCGGAATAAAAGAATGTGGGGTCAGAGACCGTACAGTATCCCGAGAATGTCTCAAGGTAAACAGCTAACGATTTAAACATTCGCCCTTCTTTTCTTCCCTGTTTTGTAATTATCTTTATGCGTTACTTTAAATCCACCAAACTTGCAATATATGAAGCGCTGCGTGAATTAGGAGAACATCAAGAAGTCATTGATTATCTACAAAAGATTAAAAAAATTCATTACAAATATATTTTACTCATATTTACAAGGAGAAAACCGCCAATGGCAAATTGAAATGAATACCAAGAAAAATTATGATTTTTTTAGACAAATTAATTCGTAAGTCTCAAACTGAAAAATTAATCGTAAATGCCAATAGGCAGTTCTTGTAATCACTGAAATCCACCGTAAAAGTTTCCTGATGACAGGTTTCGTCTCTATCTGTTTCATAGAAAGAAAATATTTATAAACAATTGAATAATGTAGGAAAATATTTGTATCTTCTTGACACTTTATTAGTGAATTGTTTAAGAAATCTTGACAGATTTCTTCCTAATGATTTTGTCAAATGGAAAATCTGAAAAAGCCTTTCCGAAGATTTCTGTGAATGCGTTAGACACCAGATCATTAATGATACCACGGGTCACGACAAAACCTGGTTGCCAAGCACTGTTGATTATTCTATCTACGATGGTTTCGATAAAAGAACGGCCTTGGACTAGGTTCGTGATGTGAAGTTTTAGATCGCGAATGGTTTGGACTTCTACACGTACAGCTATCTTCGAGCCCGGTTCCTTGGTGACTGTCGTGGTTTGGACGAGATCATCTGTCAACAGCAACAAAGGAAATATCAATAATTATAATACCCAGTACTAATATCCGAAATGCTTCAAAATCCTCGGATATTTCCCGATAAGATGGATGCAGACAAACGCAAATGTCAAATTTTACAAGTTTGAAATTGACGAGCGCCAAACGAGTTTTCTACAAAGTTGGATACGATCGATTATTTACAGACCAAGTGATGGGAAATACCCTCAAATGAGTAGACGTATTTTCTAACACGAGGGCTATTGGTGGGATTTTTTTTTTATTACAATTCTAGCCAACCAAATGAGATTCGATATTTTCGGTCTCGTGGTTTGTTTCTATCTTATAATCTCTTCGGCTGCGAGGACTTTTTCAAATTAATAATTTCCCATGACAGTTTGTATTTATTTTAATAAGGCTTAATAAAACAAAATGATTAAAAAATAAAATAAAAAACGGTGTCCCTATTCTTTTTAGGTAGTGGACAGATACAAGCTGCAGAAAATGCCAACCTTGAATGAAACACTCCATCCTGTGAATAATGACGAAGTTCCTCGAATATTGGACTTTGACTGATTGAAAGTCGAAAAGAAAAAAATCATCACCCGAATACTGTTAAAATTCCCACGTAGTAATGATTAAGCTAAATTTTTCCTCCCCGTTGCCACGCAGCGAAACTATCGGGAAATATCCGATAATTTTGAAAGTGTTGGGTGTTATAGGCAAATATTTTTCATCTGCGGATTTCGGTCACTGATTCGGAAACTGATTCTATGAAACTATCGACGCAAAAGGGGAAAAGGAATACTCACTCCTTTTTCTCTACTTCCACGGAGAAATATTCAATAAAAATGATGTGCCTACTCCGTAATCTGCGAGTCAAAACAATATTCAGTAAAAAATTACGGAACAGTCACGGACTTTTTCACTTAACTTCCAGGAAAAAATACGCAAAGTTCATAATGATTCGTGAAATTCCTGTTAGACTTCACAATTTTCAGGAAAACTCCCAAAATTTCCTGAAGATTTCAAATTTCCACTCATATCTCCATAAAAATTCAGCTAAAATTATTTTCTCTTGCATATTACGTGAAATGTTCCGTAATTTTTCTTAAAATATTCCTCTTCCTGCGGACCAATATACATATCTAGTTACAAAATATCCAAAATAAAACCGAATCTAGTCTGCCATTTGCCAGCAAAGCCAGTATTCTGATTGGACTAAATGCGTCCATCAAAAATGATCTGCATAATTATGAGTGTTAGTAAAGTTCGCAACAACCTGCGTATTCTATCAATAGTGAGCACATGTTCTTTCTCTATCGCAAAATTTCCGATCACTGTTTACTAGGAATGCTGCAGTGATCTAGTTATCACATTTGCCATATCCATTCAATATTTACTATCTCACGTATACCCACAGGAAAATTAGAACGTAAATTACGTTTCAGAAAATGCATTTTATGATTTCGTAGTCATAAATTAAGTTTAAAATATCGCGAGTTATAATCATATAAATCCAATTGTAAAAAGATTCTGAACGTAATTTTATGTTTCAATTTTAATCATAAAATTCTCGAAGGTGCCAATTTTGTACACATAATAAACGTTCACATTTTTCTAATCCAATGAATTATGGCAGTCTGTGTAATCTATAATTATAATAGATTACTGAGGCTCCACGACAATATATAACTAATTAAATAATTATAATTATTGGGAAAGCTCTATTGAAATTTTCTAGGGATTTGCACATCGATACTCTATTAGTCTGTGAAACTAGTGCAAAATTTCCGTTTTTATACAGATTATTCATAATAATAATATAAATATAAATAAATAGTCAATAAATGATGTACATATTAAAAATTAGAAAATTGAATCTAACCCGCGTGTGTATTACCGACCTGAGGCGAAGTCGACGGTGGTAAACACGCGGGTTTGAATGTCCTCTTTTCTTTCCTCGGTGCACATTGTTTTTTCCAATAAACACTACGCGGAAAAGTTCGATTTTCACCCCTCAAAAACAATAGAAATTTGAGGGATAGAATAGGTCACTTTCTCCCCATCATTTGGAGAGTAAAATCGAACTTTCCTTGTCGGTATGACAGCAATAGTATTTTTCATACCTAGGATGGAATCATTTTTTCTGCTGTGGTTATGATGCTATTGTATATCATTGTGACCGAAAATGCGTCTGTAACCGCAATGACGTAAAGTTATTTTCGGCCGAGTGAATAAGAAAAAATTAATCTGGGTTTAATAATATGAATAGGAATATCTTTCATAAATAAATATAAAGGATGTAATGAACCCGAAATTGCTTCCATTATTACGAAAAAAATTCCAACTTTCAATAAAATTAACATTCCGACCATAACTTAGCTCTGTAAAATCCAAGGCCTAAATTATTCAATATGTTGAAATGGTATTTTATGCCATAAGTGTACCGAATCGCCCGATTCCAACTTCGCACGTTAGAATCGGATATTATAGACCCTATGGGTGCCATGACATAATATACTATACGAAATTCGTGCGTTATGGTATTTTTTGACTCGAGCGATTGATCGCCTTTGGCTTGTTTTACTACTTCCCACGAGGTAAAAAAATCATTACGCACTTATTGCGGAATATACTATTATTTCGGAAGGAAACTATCAAAAGTTATTCTATTATTTCGAAAGGTATACATGAAATACCTGATCAGAAATTAACATTCTGTTTCCTCCTAAAAACACTAATTGTTAAAAATAGAGAAGCATTCCAGTATTGAGGTGAATGGAGAAATAATTGTGGTTTAATCATCTCGATAATGAGACAATTTAGAATAATTACCAGGAATTAAAAAAACTTACATAAATCTAATGTGAATCTTCCATTGTTCACCATCCTGGGGCCCATAATATTTCCCCTGAATTCATAATTGCCATTCAGAAATTTTGCTGGGAAACTTTGAGTGTAAACAACCTGAAAAAAATCAACATGCAATGAAATAATTGAAAGCGACATGAACCAAAGAATCATGTCTGCAAAATTCATTTTCATCAACAGGAAGTTAATCCCATTTAGTTATTATGAGTAATTTTTCCATTTAGCAAAAATCATTGCTGGTATTCACAAAATGATATATGTCAGGCAAAGTACTCTGTAATTTGGAATTGTGTTTATTATGGTTTTAATGGTATTTTAGTCACATGGACAGAAACATGTTTTTACTTTCTATTTTCATTTTATCGTTGTCGTACCATATGAATGGCAAAATAGTATTCTTCACGTCTAGGACGGAAAAAATGAATCTGAAAAATGCGGTTTTATCGACTTCGGCCCGGATTATAAAGCCCACGAGTCAGAATTACTTTTTGGCTATAGCTATGATGTTATTTTACGACATTGTAGCCGAAAACGTGTTTTATCGACCGTAATGACAAATTCTCACCTATCACTTGAAAACCAACTTCACACGAGTAAAAAACACCGCCCTACAGTCTGGAATAATATACTAAGAGTTTGGCGGGAGACACCAACCAAGACGAACGTATCTGTTCCCGTTCAGTAGTGTTCCACTATAACCCTTCTTGTTTCCCGTGAACCCAGTTTCCCTGTACAAATTCTCGTCATTCTCTCTCAACTTTCCTTTCCCTCTCTCGCAACAGACGAGAAAGGGTTATTCTGTTTATTAGCCTTCCGATAATTAATAGCAGTTTATAAACAATTGCCGTCGTCCCTCCCTTAATCTTCCACTACAAAGGCATCGCATGACGTCACCCATCTACCACACAAGGGAATATAGAATTAAGTCTTAGGCCAAGTTATCTCCCGCTCACTACAAGGGAGTCGCATGACGTTATCTACCTACCACTTCGGTTAGTGGCAATACCATTAGCCAACTTCTGCAACATCCGCCCTTAGAGGAATAACGGCCGCAAGAAATAAATTCAGTGCCGTAAAAATCAAAAGAAGAAGCAGAAGAATGAAATACCGATACTAATATTTAAGGCTTCGCCTCGGACTGTGAACTGAATCGCCAGAAAACTTCTCCACGCTCTAATGACGAAGTATACAATAACATAAGATTCATCGGTACTTTAATATTCCAAAGAGTGGGATGATAATTCAGAAATAAATGATCTGTACCCATAACGTTCCCTTTCTTTCACTTATTGGAATAATTTCTCTCTTCCTCTCCTTTTGAGGCAATGCATTTGAAAGATAAATAACCTTAAAAAAGTATGTGAGTTATTCAATTCCCATAATTTTTCATGGAGTTATGGCGTTTTCAACGTGAAGATGCAATTTTCATGTTTTACGAAAATATTAAATTTGGTTCAGTTTCTTCATATTTCTGACGCAAATGAATAGGAGTATTTATATATAATAATGGTATCAGTTGTATCCAATTTAGTTGCGGTTTTGTGAAATTATTTGTTTTGTTTTTCCCATTTTTCACCGTTACATCACGCTTTAAAATTCATGTTTATTGTTAATTATCGTAATTCATAACGATATATATTGTATAAAATTTAAAAGGAAAATAATAAATAGAGGGACCTGAGGTGAAATCGATTCACCATTTAAAATATTTGAAAAATAGTAAACATTTGGAATTGCTTCTATTTTGATGAGTTTGAAAATAAATTGATGAGAGAAATTGACATACTTTGTAATTAGCCAAATCGCTGACGAATTTCGTGACTTTGCTAGCAGTCCAACCGCTCTCGGTGATATTCCTTAGCGTCAAACTGAATCCAAAATTCGTTAGTCCTCTTTTGACGGTGACTTCCTTAACAAAAAATGGATCGAACGGAGCAATGCTGTATTTTGGTAAACCTGTTTTGAAATACGGCCTGGCGGCATTGAGGCCCTCCCTGATGCAGGAATCAAATCCACTAACGTCTGGATAGCAGCTTCTGAAGGCATCCTCTGCATCAAGACATTTCCACGTTCCATCATTTTCCATTTCAAATAAAAGCATATATTTATCATATTATATATTTTTTACATTGACAAAACATATTGGCGCATTTGTTTCCTTACCAGATCTAGGATAAAGATTTTTTTTCTTAGTGTTTTGAGTGATATTGAAGAGCACATGGGAATTATGAAAAAAAAGAAAAGAATCTCTAATGGGGCATGCACGTTGATTAAATAGTGAGTAAGAGCAACTTGTCGACTGAAACTCGTTTGGTACTACGAATTTTTCACGTTGCAATTGCTAATTTGAAGACTATTTAGTTTATATCACAAAATAGAATAAGCCGAAAAAATCGCAGAAACACAGTAAATAAAAAATTCCCTTTTTTCTTCATAACTCCCAGCCAAAAATTACATAAAAATGTGCATGCGAAATATCGAAGTAAATTTCCAATTCCAATTGCGCAAACGTCATTTCACTTTCACCCAGAAATCTTGGCATCTCATGAATTCCCAATTTATTTTAATAAACAATCATCGCGAACAAGATCGTGCATTCCTTCCTTTATTTTTTGGTTTTTCAAACTCCCGACCAGACAACAGAAAACAATTCTTTATTTCCACGACGCAATCAAGCGTAAATCATGCAGCAACAGAGAAACTATTGAACCCAACAATTTTATGGTTTACCTCAATGGAAACGTAATGAATAGGTAAGTAAAATGGAGAAAAGATAGTGCATATAATAGATTGCTTTTAGAATAAAGTACTTGCCAAATTCAGCAGAGAATACTCCAATGGCACAGAGGGACACAATGACAAATTCCCGGTACATGATTTCACGTTGCGTCAAACTCACTAATATTATTTTGTTTTACATGAATAGATCCACCAGGTCTTTCTGTTCGGAGCAGTTACTGAGATACGACACAATTACAACACGATTCATACAACATACAAACGTAAAACAACCTCGCTCGTACTCAGTGTTCGCGCTTTCACTCTCAGCAATGTATCTGAGATCGCTCCTTTAATCCCAGAATAATTTTTTTCGTTCCCCAATTATATAATTTTTACTTTTTTTTTAGTCGGAAGGGGTTTTTCTTCGTGGAGGGGACACATGAAATTGGACTTGTGGATCCGACCTTCAGATGCAGTTGCTGCTAGGGGATTCCCGGAATTCGGTTTTTTATTATTTTTATTTTTTCGTATATTTTAGTTTAATCTGCGCACTCTGGCTGTTTTTGGATTTCATGCAAATAGCATCCAAAAGATGGAGAATATTTTATTGAAAAATGAAGAATATTTCATTGAACACCTTCAATTTATCTCTGTATCATGTGTTTTTCTTCTGGTGGCTAATTATGAATAGGTATATATCTGATCATTTTTTTTGGTACACGGTTAAGGCTTAAGGCTTCAGTTAAATTATCATCATTTAAGTTTAAAAAATAGTTGAAAAAATTAGCTGCAAAATCAGCACTTTCTGTTTGCGGTTTCCCTTTCTGAACTTGAGATAGAAATATTTTAACTTGGAGTGATTTAACACGTGTTTAAATAGAGTTTCAGGTTTTCATATCAGAACCTATGCCCTGACGAAATTTCGGATTTTTGTAAATAAATTTGCCCGTTTATTCTTCTTCTTTCATAAAAATTGACCCTCAGTTGTCCATCTGCATATACACACGTGGCCTTCAAACTTCGTATTTTTACGTTTCAGACCGTTCTACATTATTTCCAGGCAAAATTAGAAAATCGAACAATCGAACGATTGCAATGCTTTCATTCGGAGGCAAGATGAAAATAAGCAGTTTCAATATATATTAGGGCAATATCAGACGCGCACGCGGAAGGCATGCACTATACTGAGAACCATTTTTATTATCTATCATCACATATCGGGTATCCTTCAATCAAAAAGATTAATGTGTTGAAGTAATCCTAATAATTGACGAAATATTGAATAATTACTGATCATTTACTTTAATTTTAACTGTTTGATTAACAGTAAGTAGTCTAATTGAGACTAATTAACAATAACAGTATAAAATGTGGGGCGACGATCGCCAACTGCAGGCACAACTTCGCGTTAACACAGTTTTCACAGTTAATTAGAGAGTCCTCAACGCAATTAACGATGTAATTGCAACAAAAAAAAACCCTAACACAGCTAGGTACTAACTAACTAACTTACACATTGAAGACGGGAAGTTTATATAGCGTTCCACATTCTTTTTGTGACGTCACAGGAGTCGTGATTTGGATCAGGTAAGAAGGGGAACAGGACAATTCTCTATATAATTTTTGCGAGAAAATTTACTGAAAAAATGGATAGTCCAGACCGGGACTTGAACCCGGGACCTTCCGATTATGCATCGGGTGCTCTCCCAACTGAGCTATCCGGCTCCTAGCCATTTGTTCTATTCACTTTTCTTGCCTAGCAGAGAGAGCAGAGCCACTTGAGGGCAAATCGAACCGCCCCGCACAGAGGCCGCAATGCTGTGTCAAAAGGGCATCAATGTAGTGCTGGGGCACCAAAAATTGACTGCATATAACACCTAGTAGGAATGAGCGGAGGCAGAGAACCGCCTTCTCCCCTAGGCCCCAAGACCACTAGGAGGAAACAACGAAATCCAACTGAGGAGAGCCACCAACGGGAACCCGGGGGCTCTGAAATAGTGGCGGTAGCCACGACTTGAACCCACAACCTATCACCCGTCTAGTATTCTGGGACATAGACGGAGCATATAAAATTAGGAAGTACTGGGAATTCGTAAAACAATACGACATAATTGCTCTGCAAGAAACCCACCTCGAAAAGAAAAATGAAGTGAAGGTGCTGAACAACTTGGACGTGAATCACATGGATCACGCCTGCAGTCGTCAGGGCAGTCAAGAGAGGGAAAGCAAAGGGAGGGAGCCTTCTTGCGGTAAAGAAATCAGCAAGGACCTGGAAGTATCTGCATGAGCAAACGGAACTCGAATTAGAGGAATGATGTCGCGAGAGGGGCAAAACATTGATGTCATAACGGTGTATAATAGCGAGAAAATGGCCCAGCGAATGAGGATTCTCCAGCCGCCGGTGGATGAGGCACTGGTCAAGGGAGGCGTACTGCTCATTGGCGACTGGAACGCTCGAGTCGACACAAGGCAATGTCACAGCGAGGTGCTGGACGAGATGGGCATGCGCTACGGAAGAGAATCAGAAGACTTCGTACTCAATAAGGAAGAAAAAGAACTGCTAGAATTTGGAGGCTCAAATGAGCTACTGATCATCAATGGAGCCATGGAGGGTGATAGGCAAGGACAATCCACATTCCTAGGAGGCTCAGACTCAGTCCTGGACCTTGCTCTGATTAGCGTCACCGATGTCGACAGTGTAGGCACGGAGCTCAAAGTAATACCGCAGGTAAGCTCAAACCATCTCCCAATCACCAGGATGAGATCCCCCGAGAACACAAGCCCAGACACTGGCTCTCCAAAGGAAGGGCTGGCCTGGGACAACAATAAGGACGAGGAATACAAAGAAGCGATAGCCAGGAAACTCTTCAAGAATCCGCCCTCAGGACCCGAGGATTGCCTGAAAACAACTCATCGAGATTATCTGGGCAGCAACAGAGAAATGTGAGATGCTAAAAAAAAGCCCCAAAAGACAAGACAGAAAGGAAATATGGGTGGAGAGGGAGTACAGGGAGCAGCGAAAGGTCACCTTTGTCGCCCTGAGGAGCTACCACAAAAACAAAATTGAGCCTTAACCCCGGAATGACTGATTGGAACAACAGAATAAGCGGAAAGCCCTAAAAAAGGAGAATATCACGGCGTTAAAAGAAAAAAGGTGGCATAAGGCAGGAAAAATGGACGACAATGCGTGGACAGCCCACTTCGGGCAACTCCTCAACATAAAACCAGAGGAGGGTCAGACACGACCCCCCAATCACTCGGGGACACCCAGTATCAACACCCCACGCCCTAGCGCCGCGGCACCCACACGCAAGCACGCCGACACTCGAGAATGGTGGAATAGGAAATTAGGTTGGGACGAAGTGAAGAAAGCCCTGATAGAAATGAAAAACAATAAGGCACCAGGAGAAGATGGGATCTCCGCTAGCTTCCTCAAGGCTTTTTCCCCCCAAAGAAAAACCTGGTTGCACAGAATCCTGAATGAGTTGTGGAAGCAAAACCTCTTGGGAGTGGGGTGGGAAACTGCCCATATTTACGCAATACACAAATCAGGAGAAGTAGACAAGGCATCGAAATACTGGGGAAAGTCTCTGTTGGATGTGGGCGACAAACTCTTAACAAATATTGTGGCTAAAAGACTGGCAAAATAGGCTGAAGAAAACGGCAAACTGGGAGAGAGCCATGCAGGATTCAGGAAAGGCCACAGCACCAGGGACCACATACTTGCACTCAACACCTTGATAGGTGCACCGCTAAAAAAGCTAGGCCAGAAACTCTACGTGGCCTTCATCGATTTCAAGGCAGCTTATGACCTGGCGGATCGCCGCCTAATGATGCAGAACCTGTGGAACATGGGGTTGGAAGGCAGGCTCCTGGAGATGATCGAGAAAATCTACAACAACACAAGCAACAGAATTATCACCCAGGAGGGTGACTTCGTACCACCAGGAACTTCAGCTCCAATTGTGGGGTCAGGCAGGACTGCCCTAGAAGCCCGATACTGTTCTGCCTCTTCCTAGAGGACCTCGATGCGGCTTTGGCGAGGAACCAGGTAGGAGGCACAGTGCTGGCCGGCGAGAAAATCCTCAACCTGAAGTTTTCTGACGACGTGACACTAGTGGCAGAAAATCCCAACGACCTGGGGAACATGCTGGCCACGGTAGAGATATACGCCAGAAAAAACCATCTGAAAATAAGTGAAAATAAGACCAAAGTCATGGTTTTCAGGAATGGGGGGAGGATGACAAGCCAGGAGACCTGGCCTAGTAGAACCTGAATGGTAGAAAACTCGAAGTAGTGAAGGAGTTTAAATGCCTCGGTATCTGGTCCGCCACAAGAGGAACTCTCGCAACGCACGCCAGGAAACTAGCCACCACGGCCAGACTGGCCACCAACTGCTGGTGGGGCATCATGGAGAGAGCCAGAATTGACTCGCTCCACCGAAGATTATATGTACTGGACATCCTCGGCAAGGTGGTTGCCTGTACGGGGTTGAGTTATGGGGCTGGGAGGGAAGCGAGCCCATGAAAAAATTGCAAAGCCGCTACGTGAAGATGGCGATGGAGCTGGCACATAGCACCCCAGCGTACATACGGAGGTCTGAGCCGGAACGCCGCAGTCTTGAGATCGAAGCACTGATGTGGGCATTCCGGTACCTAACGGATATCCTGGGAATGGAGACCTCGAGATGGCCCAGCAAAGCGCTTAGAAAAAAGGCGAGAAGAATGGTCAACAACACCCACTCGAAGTTCGGACCAATTATGAGGAATGCCTTCGAAGGAGTAGGAGACGGCACGATTAAAATATAGCAGGAGGTCCAGACAGACAGGCTCAGGGTAGACAGATCTACCCTACCAGATACTGCCCTCACTACAGACACCTGAACCCAAATAAGGAAAATGAAAGGTACTGGGGAATCAGAGGACTGATAGGCAACACAAAAGAGCAATGGGCCAGACTCAGATGTGGAAACCTGGGCAGGACTACTCACAAAGGCTTTCGGAACACTAAGTGTCGCTTCTGCAACAATACGGAGAGCATGCAGCACATCCTGGTATGCGAACAGGCCAAGCAACTCATACCGGAGGAAAAAATTGGCGAGCTAAATGCATGGTTGCCACAACATCTAGCGAGTGCCTCACTGGACTGGTGGCTCCTAGAGGCACTTAAGGGCAACCCGAACTTGGCAATATGTAATTACGTACAGGAGTTTGGGAAAAAGGCGAAAGCTCGAGAAGAAACACCGGCACGTAGGGAATAAAAAGGCGCGGTACAGGACCACCATGGACCCCCCGCAGCATTCAACTCGGTGGAATTATGCTACA